CTACTAAACTATAGAATTTAAATAAAAAAATTTTTATCAAATTCAATCAAGTAGTTATTGAGAAATCATCACTAGAAGTTTTAAAAAACTTTCAAATTTATAAGTAAATCTTGATGATAGATCAGCAGCAATCTGCAGGTCATTTGCTGAATTTGGTAGACCCACTAATCTACTCCTATCTCAAATAAAGGGGTCTGTTAAAGCCAGGTGCATTTGGTATAAACTTGGAAATGATCTATATACTGCATAAATTATCTTTTTGATATTTATATAAACCACTAACTATTATAGCATCAAAAATGTAATGTAACCAGTATTTAAAATTACCTTGCACAAGATGCATATATGCAGATGGTTTTTTTTTGCGCAAGAGAAGGTTCAAATGTATATGCACAAGTATGCAATTAAAATTAAATAAGAAGCTTGCACAAAAAATAATGTGCAAGAGAAATTACAAAATTTTATTGTACAAAAATTTAGTCTAAATATAAAATATGAAATAGATAATGATAATCTGAAAAGTTCTGAAAAGAAAATGAATGAACATTAAATATGAGCAAGGATGAGTTTAAAGTTAGAAAAAATCTGTAATATTCAGAAAATTAAGCAAAAAATTTAAGATATATTTGGTATAATAATTTTATAATGTTAGCATCACTTAGAGATAATATGTATGTGCATATAAAAATAAAATTTATATACATATATATGCAACTAGTAGTTGGTTTATGCGATTAAAACCTATGACACAACTGCATTTGTGCAAGTAGGTTTTGATCTAAATTTTAAACACTGAATGTAACTCTAACGCATCAAAAAAGTGATTCTAATGCAGGCTTTAATGTTTTTCAAATAAGGGGTAATCTAAAGCCATGTACTCACATAACTTTTTTGTATAAATCAACCAACCAGAATTGTGAAATTTTGTTTATACAGATCAGTCCAAGAAGTCAAAAATAAAGAAAATGCAAAAAGACGAAAAATGAGTCTTAACCTATCTTGGGACACTAATTAAAAATAGTGGAAAGGCAATTTTATTTATACTTTTCTTTTTATATTAATAGCCAACTAACCCTAATTCTAACCTTAATTTTAATTTAAATGATTAAAACGTTAAAATCATGTAGGTACATGGCTTTAGCCATCCCCAAATGAAGAAATAATAATCTTGATCATGCATACCATAATTTACTGGATAAGGGCAGGGCCAATGATTTTTTGTGATTCACAGAAAATAGCAGAATTTCTCTTAAGTATAGCCAACCACAGAAATTATTTTTAATCACTGCAGAATATCGCAGAATATACAGAATACTAAAGAATCTCAGGCCAAACATGATTACATAAAGATTAACCAATTAAATTGAGTATTTTATTATATGAATGATTTATCAGATTATCGAATTTATAATTTTTTTATACCACATATATATACATTATATGCATTAGTTAAAAATATCAAGTTTAACCAAGCATATACTTTAAAAAAGTTTGAAAATAGTTAGAAAATCATGATAAAAACTCTTTTAATTATAAATTTATAATATTGATATTGAGTTATGGTGAAAGTAATAGAGTTAAAAATATCAAGTTTAATTTTTAATTATAATAAAAAATTTTCTTAATATAAATATATAATAAAAGTTATTTTTTTTTGAATACATAATGGCAAATCGAAATAAGAAAGTTTCTATAGCCACTCATATGAGTGAACATCCTGGCATTTTTAGAGAAGATGATAAAGTTATGTTTTGTAATTATTGTGACCATTCTGTTGAATGAAAGGTAAAGTCTACTGTTGATAGACACTGTAATTCAAAGACCCATATTAAAAACAAATAAATCTATGAAAGTAAAGAACAATCGAAAAAACAAGTCACACTTCCTACTGTTAAAATTGTATTAGAATCAAAAAAAGAAGTTATTGAGGATTTAATTAAAGCATTTTCTTTTGCAAACATTCTTCTTGAAAAAGTTAATAGTTTACTTCCATTTTTTAAAAAATATTTTAAAAAAGGCGGTGCTATTCCTCAAGCTTCTACACTTCGCCAATTATATTTGCCAACTGTTTTTGAGCATTATTTTACCTTACTCCAAAGTTTTTTTAATCAAAAACTTGTAGCAATTATAATGGATGAGATGACAGATGACTGTTACGTAGTGTAGTAAATACTTTATTTACTTTTTGCCAAAATACTAAATTAGTTTCAGTTTACTTTTTAGAAAGTGTAAATAACTCAATGATCGGTGGGGTTCTATTAACTATTTTAGTTAAATATGATATTCCTTATAATTTACCAAAAATATTTTTGTCTGATTCTGCGGCCTACATGAAAAAATGTTATCATGATATATTAAAACCTGTAATGCCGCAATTAGTTTACACACCTTGTTGTGTACATATTATTAATCTTATTAGGTAAATATAAATTTAAACTTTTAATTTTATTTAATTTAATACTTTAAATAATTATTTTTTTATAATATATTAGTGATACTTGGCTA